GTGTCTGCAACGTGGGACCTATGAGAGGCCTTACAAAGTTAGTTTGATTTTTGTGAAGCAGCTCATTTTGAGCTTGTCATCTCTGTATGATCTTTCATGTGGTTTGACTTTTATTTGCTTATTCTCTCCAGCTGTGCACAGAAACCATGTGGGCTATTTTCTTCCTAGTTGTGGGAAATGGAGATAAATTAGTGGTAACTGGAATGGATTCTATTACAGGAAAAGCAGCGTTGTCAATAGTCTGAAAGGGGCACGTGTCTGCAACGTGGGACCTATGAGAGGCCTTACAAAGTTAGTTTGATTTTTGTGAAGCAGCTCATTTTGAGCTAGTCATCTCTGTATGATCTTTCATGTGGTGTGACTTTTATTTGCTTATTCTCTGCAGCTGTGCACAGAAACCATAAGTGGGCTATTTTCTTCCTGGTTGTGGAAAATGGAGATATGTTAGTGGTAACTGGAATGGATTCTATTACAGAAATAATTTTTTGATTAATACATATTGACATAATGGAATATTTAGGCTGCACTTTTCTCCCTTTTGCATTGATAGTACAAGGTGTTGAATGTTACCTTATTTGATAAAGAATACTGAAAGTTTTTCATTAAACTTGTTCAAGGGAAGAATACTGCTAGCTATTTTAACTTTATTGTTCTCTTATTGGATAAGGGGTTGAGGGTCTTGAACCAAGTGTGACTCAATGACAAAGTGGAAAATAGACCTTGCATGTCTCAATAGTGACATCCTCAAGTGGATGTATATGCATACTGTCCATGAAATACTGCTGCTGGCTTTCAAAGGTGATTCTGTTTGCTGAAATTTGGAATTTTGTTTCTATGTACTGTTTCTTTCTCAAATGCTTCCTAGTTTGTTTACACCTATTTTTCTTGTGTATGTTTGTTCAAAGGTGCATGCAGATTGTTCACGTTGACAAACAGATCAGGATGTTAGATAGTCCTAGCATTATTGTGGCACCTTCCTGCTCTTTTCATTCACTGGCACTAAGAAGTACAACAGATGTTGATTCTGGAAACCTATTTGATTCAGTAGATTCACTTCTGAAGCGCTGCAGCAAACAGCAGGTAAAGCTGTTGTGTAGTTCCTTGATCCTTTCTTAGCCTCTGATGTTTTATAGCTTGCATATTATATTACATTAATGAAAGAGGGGGGTCCATTTGCTTTCTGGCCAACTCGAAAAGCCAGCGTAGCCCCTGTTGGAGAATATGCCTTGTTGTCTGTGCTTGGGTGGACTGGTACGAATGCACCTATGGCCAGAAAAGTGTGATCCAGGTATTCATTTATACAGATAAAGTTCAGCATGCTTTTTGCCATCTCAGAGCTTATTTGCTTAACTGAACTGAGTTGTATCTAACACCATGCTGGCAATGTGGGAAATGAGGATATCTGTTGTGTCTTATTATGACAGTGAAGACATCAGATCCAACTCTGATCTCGCTGTTGCCTGATGGTGCTTCCCAAGGAGTTTCAGCCCAATTCTGCTTCCTGCCAAGCCAGAGTGGTACTGGCCCAGATACTTGAACTGAAGCAAGAACTTGCTGCTCTTGCTGTGAACAGCCTGGTGACAAGGAATAATTGGGGGTGGGGGGGATCAAAGACACTACTGTTAGGTAGCACTTCCCTGTTTGTGCACGTACTGCTGAGAATATGCAAGAACTGATTTATTCGGCAGAAATTGAGAATGATACATTTGATGGGATTTTCTTTTTATTTCAGATCATGATGTATTACAATATTCCAGACTATAGAAACCCTTTGGAGTTTTTAACACTACTAGCTCAGAAGAGAGGAATGCTGAAAAGGGGAGGTGTTCCTAACACAGAAGGTGCAGCTAAATTGGTGCTGTGTGACTGGACAGGGTAAGTATTAAGTTGCCTGGATGAAGTAAGCTGTTGCGCTGCTACTCAGAAAGGGTGCTCTGCTTGGAAGAACTTGGGACCAATGCTCCCTCTAAGCTGTGGAGTCTTGTGCGCAAAAATCCTATTTTGTGAGTTGCTGGCGTTAAAGTTGTGAGCGAGTGATTTGGCTACTGCATAAATTAGTTTGCTCTGGAGCCATCACACAAATCATGCTAGTTATTTTTGCTAATATCTAAACAACTGAATTTAAGGAGGGCTATGCAGATAAGGAGCTGCGGTGGCGTCAAGACGCTGAACTGCAGGCTGTGGAAAGTCAAGTGCACTTGGCAGCCACTGTGTAAAAATATGGCTGGCCAGAGAGAAATGTATTATTTTTAACATGTGAAATGACATACTTAACCTAGGGGGATCGTGTGTGTTCTTTCTCTGTCCTGTACACTAAACATAAGGATGACATTGCAGTGGCAGTTGGACCTGAAACAGCAGTTGCCTTTGATAACAATAGAAAGTGTGATGTAGAGGCATTATCAGTACATACACTCAACAAATACATTTTACACTCAACAAATATATTTTTTCTGCCACCCCTCACGAGCATGTAGTTATGAAGTCCAAAGACTGATGGTGTGTGAATTATTGCTGTTTTGAGCATGATGTTTCATGCTTCTGTGAATAATACTTTTTTTCTCAGTGCCAAAATGAGTTGTTATTCGCGACCCCCTGCATCATGGACCCCCTCACCACACTAAGGGCAGGTTTAATATTCCACAGCTGCCGTGTTCCATGGGGGGAAATAAACCAATTGCCATCTTGGATATGGCTGAGAGGAGGCAAAAACTAATCCTCACTCCCAAATACTGGGATTAGGAGGCAGGTTTAGTATCCCACAGCTGCCGTGTTGTTCCATGGGGGGAAATAAACCAGTTGCCATCTTGGATATGGCTGAGAGGAAGCAAAAAGTAATCCTCACTCCCAAATACTGGGATTAGGTGTTCTCCTTGTCCAGATACTGGGTAGGATTTCTTGTTCAAAAGACCATGCTGGAAGGTTCTGGCAATGCGCTAATATGGTGTCATGTGTCATGGATAATCGATGTTTCTTCTACAGCTATTAAATACCCAAATCGGGCAAGCAGCATTGCGTTTCAGTCTTCCGGCTTCACTGATGGTATTATAGATGATACTATTGTGTGAATTATTGCTGGGTTTTTTTGCTGAATTATTGCTGAATTATTGATGTTTCATGCTTCTGTGAATAATCCTTTTTTTCTCAGTGCCAAAATGAGTTGTTATTCGCGACCCCCTGCATCATGGACCCCGTCACCACACCTTTCCGCTGAAGCTTTAGCAGCAGTGAAACAAGCTTTTAATTTTGATGATCTCGAAGAAGATAACAAAAGCACCTTGAAAGGTAAGGCCACACAACCCTTTTGCGTGGGGCATGATTTTCAGAAAGGTCATGCCAGGTTTTTTAGGATTTGGGACTGGGGCCCCACCTTCCCTGCTGCCTAAATTCATGTTCTCCGACTCCTGCTGGCCTCTGAGGTGAGGGAAGAGGGGTTAGCGTAGACCTATTTCTCTCCCCAGCCTTCTTCCAGCTTGGTGTAGTGGTTAAGAGCGGCGGACTCTAATCTGGAGAACCAGGTTTGATTCCCCACTCCTCCACATGAACCCAACTGGGTGACCTTCGGTCAGTCATAGTTCTCTCAGAGCTCTTTCAGCCCCACCTACCTCACATCACAGGGTGTCTGTGGTGGGGAGAGGAAGGGAAGGAGTTTGTAAGCCCCTCCGATACTCCGGGTATTGAAGAGCGGGGTATAAAACCAACTCCTCCTCTTCTTCCTTGTAGTTCAGGAGCCAAGCTGAGTCATCATAGGCTTCACTACCTCCCCATAAACA